TTTTTTTTTTTTTTTTTTTTTTTTTTTTTTTTTTTTTTTTTTTTGCAATTTCATCCTTCCATTTTCAATCTCTTTGATTAATAATGGTTTATAATATAATGTTGCTTTAACATAAAGCCATGTAATAAAATAAAGTTTGCTACATAATTCCCTAATTATTTTATTTTCTTTCAAGATATTTAGTTTTTTTCTTTTTTTTTTTTTTAATTGAAGTCCAAGGCCAAAAACCCTAAAACACCCTTTTTTTTAATTTAAAAAAAAAATTAAATATTTGAATTCAATTTGAGCTTAGTTTAACCGTATCAACTAATTACGATTGAGTATAGTAGAAAGATTAGTCCATATTACAAATTTGTTATATTTATGTTATAATATATATATATATATATATATATATATATCTTTTGGATTAATCTAAAATTTTGGACTCCTATTTTTTTAGTTTTGTTGGACTAGGTTGTTTGATTATTATTTTTTAATTATTTTAGAAAGATTTTTTTTTATATACATGTTATATTAATAATTAAAATTTCATAAAACTCAAATATCAAATATTTATCAGTCTTAATGACAAATGTGTGTAATAATCTAAAAAATGAGGTAGCTGAGTTATAACCCTATTTTCAAATGGATGAGGTTGACCCGATGTTTAGAAAAAAGTCAAATTGACTCTAAATTTTCTATTGTCTAAAAATTTAACTCAATCCAACCAAACTTTTATAGTTTAGATTCAATAATCAATTATGTTTTCGAATCATAAAAATAAAAACATTACAAATGGGTTTTTTCATTCTTACATATTTTACATTGTCAATGAAGGTAGATTCAACATCTTAACCATTTGATATCAATATTGATTTTGATTTTTGTTTTCCGAACAAGAACAAGAACAAGAATAAAGATGTCGTCGAGTAGACCCAGCCGGTCCACAAACACAGGAGGATCCTCCTCCTCACAATCAAGACACACTTCAAGAATTCTCGCTCAAACCTCCATAGACGCAAAGCTCCACTCCCACTTCCAACACTCCAATTCTTCATTCGACTACTCTACTTCAATCCATCTCACAGCCAACCCACCATCAACCACCACCACCGCCACCACCACCGCATACCTCCACCACATCCAACGCTCCAACCTCATCCAACCCTTCGGCTGCCTCATAGCCCTCCACCCAACCACCCACAAACTCATCGCCTTCAGCCAAAACGCCCCTGAATTCCTCACCACAGTCTCCCACACCGTCCCCACCATCTCCGACCGCCCCGTCCTCGCCTTCGGCACCACCCTCCATTCCATCTTCACCCCTCCCACCGCCACAGCCCTCCTCAAAGCTCTAGCCTTTCCCGACGTCACTCTCCTCAACCCCATTCTCGCCCACTCCAAATCCTCACAAAAGCCCTTTTACGCCATTCTCCACCGTGTTACCGGCAGCCTCATCATCGACTTCGAACCCGTCAACCCCGACGAAGTCCCCGTCACCGCAGCCGGTGCTCTCCAATCATATAAACTCGCAGCCAAAGCCATCACTCGCCTCCAAGCTCTCCCTAGTGGGAGCATGGCCAGGCTTTGTGACACCATGGTTCAAGAAGTGTTTGAACTCACAGGATATGACCGAGTCATGGCATATAAATTCCATGATGATGATCATGGGGAGGTGTTCTCTGAGGTTACAAAGCCTGGACTTGACCCATATCTTGGATTGCATTATCCAGCCACTGACATCCCTCAAGCTGCAAGATTTTTATTCATGAAGAACAAGGTTAGAATGATTGTGGACTGCAAAGCCAAGCATGTCAAGGTGATTCAAGACCCAAATCTTGAGTTTGACTTGACATTATGTGGGTCAACTTTGAGAGCTCCTCATAGTTGCCATTTACAATACATGGAGAATATGGATTCAATTGCATCTTTAGTTATGGCAATTGTGGTGAATGAGGAAGAACATGAAGAACAATTTGATCATAAAAACAAGAGAAAAAGATTATGGGGTTTGGTGGTTTGTCATAACACAACTCCAAGATTTGTTCCATTTCCTCTTAGATATGCATGTGAGTTTCTAGCTCAAGTGTTTGCCATTCATGTCAACAAAGAATTGGAATTGGAGAATCAAATTTTGGAGAAGAATATCTTAAGAACTCAAACGCTTTTGTGTGATATGTTGATGCGTGATGCACCATTAGGGATTGTGTCAAGGAGCCCTAATATAATGGATCTTGTGAAGTCAGATGGGGCTGCATTGTTGTACAATGATAAGGTATGGAGATTAGGGATGACTCCTAATGATTTTGAGCTTCATGATATTGCTTCATGGATTTTGGAGTATCATGTGGATTCTACTGGATTGAGTACGGATAGCTTGTACGATGCGGGGTACCATGGTGCGGTTGCTCTAGGAGACGGCGTGTGTGGGATGGCGGCGGTGAGGCTAGGTTGCAACGACATGATTTTTTGGTTCCGATCACACGCTGCATCGGAAATTAGGTGGGGCGGGGCGAAGCATGAGGCGGGTGAGAAAGATGATGGAAGGAGAATGCATCCTAGGTCATCTTTCAAGGCTTTTCTTGAAGTGGTTAAGACAAGGAGTTTGCCTTGGAAGGACTTTGAAATGGATGCTATTCATTCTTTGCAGCTTATACTAAGAAACACTTACAAAGATAAAGAGATTAATAAGAGTTCAATACAATCAACACTTAGTGACCTCAAAATTGATGGGAGGCAAGAAATTGAATCAGTGACATGTGAGATGGTGAGGTTGATTGAAACGGCTAGTGTTCCAATTTTGGCTGTTGATGTGGATGGGCTCGTTAATGGGTGGAACTCAAAAATTGCTGAATTGACTGGAATTTGTGTTGACAAGGCTATTGGCAAGCATTTGTTGACATTGGTGGAAGATTCTTCATTAGAAACTGTGAAGAAGATGTTGTTCTTGGCCTTGCAAGGTAAATTTTGGTTTCGTTTTATTCACTTCATACATTACATTTCTCTTTCACAAGGTTAGGAATTACGACTCTCCGATACATTTCTCTTTCACAAGGTTAGGAATTACAACTCTTCGATATTATCCACTTTAAGCATAAGCTCTCATGACTATTATCCTCTCGAACAAAGTACACTATAGAGCCTCCCCGGGGCCTATGGAATCCTCGAATAGCCTCCTCTTAATCGAGGCTCAACTCTTTCTCTGGAGTCTTTGAACAAAGTACACCTTTTGTTCTAACACTTGAGTCATTTTTTACTAGACCTTCGAGGCTCACAACTTTTTTGTTCGACATTTAAGGATTCTATTGACATGGCTAAGTTAAGTTCATGGCTCTGTTACCATGTTAAGAATCATGACTCTTTACAGTATGACATTGTCCACTTTGAGCTTAAGCTCTCCCAAAAGGTCTCATACCAATGAAGATGCGTTCTTTATTTATAAACCTATGATCATTCCCTACATGCTAATGTAAGACTCCCTCCCAACGATCCTCCCCTCAAACAAGGTACACTATAGAGCCTCCTCTGAGGCCTATGGAGCCCTCGGATAGCCTCCCTTAATCGAGGCTTGACTCCTTTTCAGGAGTCTCCGAACAAAGTACACTCTTTGTTCGGCACTTGAGTCACTTTTGACTAAACCTTTAAGGGTCCTGCCTTCTTTGTTCGATATTTGAGGATTCTATTAAGGGCATGATTCTGATACCATGTTAGGAATTACGACTCTTCACAATGGTATGATATTATCCATTTTGAGCTTAAGCTCTCATGGCTTTGATCTAGGCTTCCTCAAAAGGTCTCATACCAATGGAGATGTATTTCTTACTTATAAATCCATGATCATTTCCCAAATGAGAGACAATGTAGGACTCTCTTGTTAGACGAACACGACTCTCCACAATGGTATGATATTGTCCACTTTGAGCATAAGCTCTCATTGCTTTGCTTTGGGCTTCCCCAAAAGGGAGATAGTATTCCTCATTTATAAATCCAGAATCTTCCACTAAATTAACCAAGGTGGGACTCACTCCCAATAATTCTCAACATCTCTCCCAACAATCCTCTAACACACAAATCCATTAACTTTTGTGCTCTCTCTTCAGGCCAAGAGGAGAAAGACGTCCAATTTGAGATAAAAACACAAGGCTCACACATGGAATCAAGCTCAATCAGCCTAATAGTAAATGCATGTGCAAGCAAGGACTTGTGTGAGAACGTAGTGGGAGTGTGCTTCGTAGCACAAGACATCACCCATGAAAAGAAAGTGATGGACAAGTTCACAAAATTACAAGGCGATTACAAAGCCATAGTACAAAACCCCAACCCACTAATCCCTCCAATATTTGGGGTAGACGAATTCGGTTGGTGCACAGAGTGGAACTTAGCAATGGCAAATCTAAGTGGATGGTCAAGAGAAGAAGTGCTGAACAAGATGCTTTTGGGGGAAGTGTTTGGGTCATGCTGCCATGTAAAGAACCAAGAAGCCTTTGTGAATCTTGGGATTGTTTTGAACAATGCCATGAGTGGCCAAGATTCTGATAAGATATCATTTGGGTTCTTTGGTAGAAGTGGGATGTTTGTGGAATGCCTTCTTTGTGTGAATAAGATAATGGATAGAGATGGGGAAGTGATTGGGGTTTTTTGCTTCTTGCAGCTTGCTAGCCAAGAGCTGCAACAAGCTTTGAATGTTCAAAAGTTGTGTGAGAGAACGGCTTTGAAAAGGTTGAAGGCTTTGGGATATATTAAGAGGCAGATCCAAAATCCTCTTTGTGGGATTGTTTTTTCGAGTAAAATGTTGGAGACATCTCAGTTGGGTGATGAACAGAACCAGCTTTTGCTTAATAGTGGCGATTGTCAAAGGCAGATCTTCAAGGTTCTTCATGATTCGGATGATCTTGATAAGATTATTGAAGGGTATGTGTTTTTTTCTTCTCTCTTTGAATTACTTTTTTAAGAATTTGGTTTTTTATGGCTCAACCGGTAATCACGAACCTCCACAATGGTATGATATTGTTCACTTTGAGCATAAGTTCTCGTGGCTTTGCTTTTGGTTTCCCCAAAAGATCTCATGCCAATAGAAACGTATTCATTACTTAGAAACCAAGGATCATCGCTTAATTAGTGGATGAGGGTCTCTCCACCAACTATCCTTGAGAATCCTTCCCTTTGAACAAACTATACCATAGAGTCTCTCCTAAGGCCTATGGAGCCCTCAAACAGTCTCCCCAATTGAAGCTCGACACTTGAGTCACTTTTTTATGACACCTTCGAGGCTCATAACTTCTTTGTTCGACATTTGAGAATTTTATGGATATGGCTAAGTTAATAGTATGGCTCAAATATCATGTTAGATATCAAGAACTTCTACAATGGTATGATATTGTCCACTTTGAGCATAAGCTCTCGTGGCTTTGCTTTTGGCTTCTCTAAAAGGCCTCATGCCAACGGAGATATATTCCTTACTTATAAACCCGTGATCATCCCTCTAAATTAGTCAATGTGGGACTTCCCTCCAACTATCCTCAACAATTCTTCTCTCGAACAAAGTATACCATAGAGCCTCCTCTGAGGCATATGGAGCCCTCAAACAGTCTCCCCTTAATTGAGCCTCGACTCCTTTCTCTGGTGCCCTCGAACAAAGTACCATTTGTTCGACACTTGAGTCACTTTTTGACAATACCTTCGAGGCTCACAACTCTTTTTTTGACATTTCACTTTTTTTCACTACACCTTTCGAGTCTCACAACTTCTTTGTTCAATATTTCACTTTTTTTACTACACTTTTCGAGGCTCACAACTTCTTTGTTCGACATTTGAGGATTTTATCGACATGTCGAAGTTAAAGGCATGACTTTGATACAATGTTAGAGATCACAAACCTCCACAATAGTAGATATTGTCCACTTCGAGCATAAGCTCTCATGACTTTGTTTTTGGTTTCTCCAAAAAGCCTCGTGTCAATGGAGATATATTCCTCATAAACTCATGATCATCCCTTAATTAGCGGACGCGGGACCCCACCAAACTATCCTCAACATCAACTATAATCCTTTTCCAATTAAACTTATTGAAAAGAATTACATCTCCAAACATAATGTTTTCCATATTTGTAGGCCTTTGTTCATACGAAGTTAATTAACATCTTTGTGGGTATTGGTTGACAGCTTCATTGATTTAGAAATGGTTGAGTTCTCATTACATGAAGCATTAGTGGTATCAATTAGTCAAGTAATGATGAAGAGCCAAGGAAAAGGTATCCAAATAGTAAACGAGGTAGCAGAAGAGATCATGTCCGAGACCTTATATGGAGACAGTTTGAGACTTCAACAAGTAATGGCTGATTTCTTGTTGATATCAATAAATTACACACCAACAGGAAGCAGCATTATGGTTTCAACAAATTTGACAAAGGATGAATCAGGGAAGTCAGTGAATCTTGTGCATGTGGAGTTCAGGTACAATAATATAAGAATCATTCAATGAAGAACATGCTCTTTGCTGAATTTGATGTGTTGTTTTTGTGGTGATTTAGGATAACATATGTCGGTGGAGGCATGCCAGAATCGTTGTTGAATGAGATGTTTGGGAATGATGAGGAGGCGTCTGAAGAAGGTTTTAGCCTTCTCGTGAGTAGAAAGTTGGTGAAGTTGATGAATGGAGAGGTGAGATATGTGAGGGAAGCAGCCAATTCAACCTTCATCATAACTCTTCAGCTTGCTGCAGCTCATAAATAGACAGTTGTGATGTGTTGTGCATGTTGTCTTGTTTTTTTTTTTTTTTTTTTTTTTTTTTTTTTTTTTTTTTTTTTTTTTTTTTTTTTTTTTTTTTTTTTTTTTTTTTTTTTTTTTTTGTTGAATGTCCCACTTTCTTTGAACTTCTATGGCACTATTTTGATGGGTTCATCCCCTTTTTAAGATCAATTCTCATTGGTGGACTCGTATAATTTGATGTCTTAAACTTGCTTTGACCAAACGTTCCTAGGTTCAGCTTTACGTGACCCAAGTTCACATATGATATTTTATTCATTTAGAAAATTGAGCTCGACATCACTTGAGTTTAAATCAATACTAAAAATATATAATTGTCCAAAACATTAGTCATACTCAATTTTTCTAGCTTTAATTTCATTAAAAAAAATAAAAAAAATCAAACAGACCCGTTCAAGTTGCAAGAAGCTAAGTGGGCAAAAGTCGAGTCGAGCGTAAGCCGCCATTTGAGGGCAACTCAGTTACAAAAAATGGCTATTGAAAATCATATGCAGGTTAGGTTAGAGTGGATTGAGAACTTATTTGGAACTTAACAAGATGACCATCAAGAATAAGTACCCCTAACGAGGATAGATGGCCTATTTGACCAACTGGAAATGCATATTTGACCAACTGGAAATGCATCTATGTTTCAAAGGTAAATTTGAGGTCCAAATACTACCAGCTTAGAATAAATGAAAAGAACATAGCAAAAAAAAAATAGCTTTTAAGAGTCATTCGAATCATTATTATTTTACGATAATGTGCTTTAATCTGACTAATGCCCCTGAAACTTTCATGGACTTAATGAATTGGGTATTTAAGAATTTTCTCGACAAGCTCTTGATCGTCTTTATAGAAGATATATTGGTATATATTGGTATAAAGCATGAGAACCTCTCGACAACTCTAAGGACACACAAGTTGTACCCTTGAAGGACACATATTTTCCTCATCTTAATCATGAAATATTAGGATCGTGTCTCGGAGATGTAAAGAAATTCTAGGGCAGTTAATGATTGCGTCATGATCCAAATTCTAGACATAAGTCTCGTAGGTTCATGATTTTTATCGAATATGTAATCTAGCAAGACCATTGAGGAGTGATTTGGGTTCTGGACTAGAGTGATGTATTGTGTGGAAAAAAAATGGATTCTCTATCCTTAAACTTGTCTTCAAATGGAAGACTACATAAATATGTAAGTCACGGCTTAAGCATCAAGGCTTCAAAACTCAAAACTTAGAACCTCAGGTTAATACTGTGGTGGCTTAGGTTTAGCCATGGATAAGATCAAGAGCTTATAAGTGGGCTACTTATTAAGTATTTTACACTTGTTTTTAATATTTGGTTCGAGAAGTAAATTTAATAATAATTTTTGTCATACCATAAGAATTACGAATCTCCACAATGATATGATATTGACTACTTTGGTCAATGGCTCTCGTGGATTTGTTTTGAGCTTTCTCAAAAGGCTTCATACCAATGAAGATATATTATTTTACTTATAAACCCCTGATCATTCCCTAAATTAGCCAATGTGGATTCCCTCCCAATAATCCTCAACAATCCTCCCTCGAACATATTATACTATATAAGCCTCCCCTTAATCGAGGTTGACTCCTTTCTCTAGAGCCCTCAAACAAAGCACACCATTTGTTCGACACTTTAGTCACTTTTGACTACACCTTCGAGACTCACAATTCTTTATTCGATATTTGAGGATTGTATTATCATAACTAAGTTTAGGGTATGACTCTGATACCATGTTAGGTTGAATGGTGTTGTGACCTGTGTAAAATGAGGGTTACATGGTGGACCTTGATCGATAGTAACAAATAAATCAGGAGATTCTATTACTACGTTTAATAATAGTAGCAAAAATATGGTTGAAAGTCCACATCTAGGTGTCATACAAAGGTGGAGTTGTTCTTTGTACTTTGATTGACCCAACACCCCAACTACTTTATATAGTCAAAATAATAATATTTATTAAATCCTCCCCAAAAAAATTTCAAACTTTGGAACAACTACACATAAAATAATAAAAGACTTTTCTTCAAAAAAAAAAAAAAAAAAAAAAAAAAAAAAAAAAAAAAAAAAAAAAAAAAAAAAAAAAAA